TGGGCGAGAAGCAGAGATCCAGGAGGAACCCAGCGGGGAGGGCATCTCTCCCAGGCCAATGGAAAGGGGCCCTGCCACACCCTCCCTCGGCCCGCCTGACCGCTGGCCTCGCCTCCTGGCTGCTCCTGCCCCAATTCCAGGCCCTTCCCTTCCCCTGCCGGTGCCCACCCCGGCTTGTCTGCTCCCTCCTGGCAGATTCACCTGCGTCGTGATCCCAGCGCCAGCCCTCCTGGCTCTGCTAAGAACCAAAACTCAGACCTGCCTGAGACACAAGGCAGCCCACAGGCTGCTCCCGGGGAGAAGGCCCAGGAAGGAGAGGAGGCGACGCCCTGAAGGGAGAGCCCAGAGGCTGCGTCCGCTGGGTCCTGGGCTCCAGGACAGCGCGTGAGTGGGTGGTTAAGGTGAGTGTGGGGACCAGGAGGCGGGCACAGAAACGGGGACATCAGGAGGAAGAGCCAGCGTGGGCAACGCTGAGCTCATTCGTGGTCAGGAAGGAGTCTGGGGAGAAATACGCAGTCCTGCTTCCAAGATGGAGCTGGGAGCTCAGGCAGCGGCAGTGAGGAAGTGACGTTACCAACCTCACCCTGCGGGCCAGGCTGTGTGTGCCAGGCGCTTCCTCACAATGCGACAACAAGGCGCCATTTCCACTTTATCAATGAGGAAACTGAGGCACGGGGAGACTAAGCATTCTTGTTGATGACACAGCAGGGAGCAGGACTGGGACTTGAACCCAGGCTCCCGGCTCTGACCTCTTTTCTAAAATGCTGTGTGGTGGAGCACACACTTGGGAGGCTGAGGCAGGAGGATCGTTGCGAGTTTGACACCAGCCTGGTCTACAAAGTAAGCTCAAGTCCAGCTTGAACTGCATAGCGAGACCCTGTCTCAAAAAGACCAAAAAAAAAAAAAATTGCTGTGTGTGGTGGGAGTCAGAGGTGGGTGTGTCCTTGACAAGCACCCTTGACTTTCGGGGTTTTACTTTTTTTTTCTCTGCAGTACTGGGGATGCAGCCAGGGTCTCACACTGAGCTATGTCCACACGTCTTTTTCATTTTTTGTTTTGAAACAAGGTGTTGCTAAGTTGCCTGCACTCCCCTAGAACTTGAGATCCTCCTGCCTCAGCCTCCTGAGTGGCTGGGATACAGGGATCTGGCCCTGTACCCAGATTCATTTACTCTTAAGAATCACGATCTGATGAAAATCATAGACCTCCTTCTCAGAAAAATACATTGTGACCGTCTAACAAAGACATAACTTCATATATGATTTTGGGGTTCTGGAAGTCCCCCAAAGCCCACCCACGTTTCCCTGATAAAGGAGCCCAGCCCTAAGGAATCAGTTCAAGCACCCGGGACATTTTCCCCACAGCCCTGTAGGGCCAGGGCCGGCAGCTCCATCTTCCGGACGTGGACACCCGCCACTGCGGACCCAGTAAGCCGCCAGGTTTCTGACGGCCTTTCGCGCAGGGATACTGCTGTCGTTTTTACAGATGCCAGAGAATGCGCACCCCAGCTCTCTGCCTGCGGACTTCGGGCCCAGCCCCTCCCCCGTGTGCCTGGACTTCGCACGGCGACGGACCGCAGGGGGCCGGGGCAGAGTCCAGCGCGGCTGCTCCGTGCAGCCTCCCCCCGCCCGCCGCGTCTGCACCCCGCGGACAGGCCCGCTCGGGCCTTCTCCCGGGGCTCTAGGCCCCCTGTCTTCCCCAGAGCTCACTGGGGACCCAACAAGAGCAGAGAAACGGCGAAGAGGCCTCCGGGGAGACCTCGAGGTCAGGGGGAGGCAGAGGGGAAGGGAGGAGACGAGGCCAGAGTACAGGGGTCTTCAGAGGCGGGCGGGGACAGAGGCGTGGGAGGGGGCGACGGGCGCAGGGGACAGGGGGCTCTTCACCTTCAGTGTCCATGGCGACCTGGAGCGGCTGGGCCAGTGCGTCCCCTGCTCAGAGCCAGTGTCCCCGGGCCCAGCGCGGCGGTGGGGCTGCCGGAGGGAGGAGGGGCCGGGTCAGCTCCTCCCAGAGCCCCGCCCCCGGGCCCTCCGCCTGGACCCCCGGCTGTGCCCGCCCCAGTGGGGTCCCCCAGTGCGTCCAGGGACACCCAGCTCCTGGCCTTGCTCCAGGCGGTGCAGCTGTGAAAGAAGAATGCGCTCCCCTGCAGGCCAGAAAGCCTTTCTGCTGTGAACGGGAAATCAGGGGCCGCGGACCTCGCTTGGAGGGTCCTAATCCCATTCTCTCTTATCTCACATGCTGCGAAGGGAGGAAATTCTGCAAGGGACGGAGGAGAGACTCCACGAATGCACACTCCTCCTTTTTCCTTCCCTCTTCTGGAGCGCCTGGTTTCCATGTATTCCGCCCCCCAAGTTCACTTGTTGGAAATTTCACCCCCAAATCAATAGGTTTAAAACTCTCGGAAGTGGCGCCCGTGCGAGGGCATTAGGGTGAGAGAAGGAACCGAGGGGCCTCGAGAGAAGAGGGAAGGAGGGCAGAGCTGCGGCATGTGAGGCTCCGCGCGCTGTGAGGCAGAAGGCGGCCCCAGCGAGGCGCCAGCTCTTTGCCATGGCCTGTGCAGCACATAACTGGGGGAAACGGGTTTCTTTTTAAATCATCCAGGGGGATTCCGCCATATCAGCACGGATCAGGGTTGGGCTTCTGAATTAGAAAAGCCTGGGAAGCTGTCACTAACAATTTCCTGTCTGAGACCTGGCAGGGTCTCCATTGCTTCGTGGGAAGCTCTTCTCGCTCACAGGGGAGGTTGGTAAACCCTCAGCGTTGTTCCCCAGTCCTCTCCGCTGGCTTCCTTCGCTTGCCTGCACTAGGGGCCAGAATGAGGCCGGGCTAGCATCCAGGACACAAAATATTCAGAGGCCCCATGTCAGGCTTACTTTTCATCGAAGCACCTTGCCCGCTCACTGAGCCCTGGGCCTGTTTTTTTTGTTGTTGTTGTTGTTGTTGTTTTTGTTTTTGTTTTGTTTTTGAGACTGGGTTTCACTGTGCAGTTCAGGCCTCAAACTTGCAGCGATCCTCCTGCCTCAGCCTCCCAAGTGCACCACCATGTCCAGATTGGGCCTGCTTCTGACAGCTCTCCTCTCCCAACTGTTGTTGTTCAGATGTTGTTTTCACCTGATTTATCTTTTATATGGTCTCTTTCTGGGTCTCTTACAGGCCTTTCTTCCCACAACCAACCCTCAAATGCTGGTGTGTCCTCCACTGGGCAGGCACTGCTTCCATCCCTTCTAGGCACCCAGACAAACTACATTTCCCAGCCACCTTTGCACTGAGGCAACCTGGGAACTGAATTCCCACCAGAGGATCAAGGGCAAAAGTGAAGGATGTGGCCTCCAGATCTAGCCTGTTTCCCGGAGATCTTCATGCATCTGCCTCCCCTCTCTCCCATCAGCTGATTAAAGCTGAACCCTCTGAGGCCCTAAGACAATGACAGAGCCGCAAAACAGAAGAAGCTTGAGTCCCTGGATGACCCTGGATGATCTGGTCACACTGCAGATACCAGCAATGAGCTGTTACATAAGCAAAGGGAAAACTTCTCTTGAGTTAGGCCACCGAGATTTGAGGGTTATTTGTTAACAGCAGTAGCATATCTTGACTATTACACTAATAACCTCTCCACACAATAGTAAATGATATGATTTATCCATGTGTACATCCACACCATTATTAACATTACTATTCAAACTGGGCACAGTGACTCACATACCTGTAGTTCCACTGCTTGGGAAACTGAGGCAGCAGAAATGCTTGAGCCCAGGTCTTCCAGGCCAGCCTCCGCAACACAGCAAGACCCTATATTTAAAAATTTTTTTCTTTAATTAAAAAAAAAAAAGCCAAGCGTGCCTGTAATCCCAGCACACGGGAGGCTGAGGCAAGAGGATCGTTGTGAGCTCGAGACCAGCCTGGGCTACAAAGTGAGCTCAAGGTCAGCCTGAAGTGTACAGTGAAACCCTGTCTCAAAAAGACACACACACACGCAAACAAAATTTTCTTTGAAAGGGGCTGAGGAGCCGGCATGGTGGCGCACTCCAGTAATCCCAGCATTCGGGAGGCTGAGGCAGGAGGATCATTGTGGGTTCAAGACCAGCCTGGGCTACAAAGTGAGCTCAAGGCCAGTCTGAACTGCACAGCAAGACCTTGTCTCAAAAAGGCAAAAAGAAAAAAAAAAAAAAAGAAAGGGGCTGGGGATGTAGCTCAGTGGCACAGTGCCTGCCTGGCAAGTACAAGGTCCTAAGTTCAATTCCTGGTACAAAAAAAAAAAAAAAAAAAATTATAGAAAAATAAAATTACTATCTATAATCAGATAAGTTTTAAATCCATATCTCCAGCCCTGGGTTCCCACCTAAACTCCAGGTCTATTTCTAACCATCTCCAAAATATTCCTCTTAACTTCTTTCTTTGGTTTTTCAAGACAAGGTCTCACTCTGTAATTCAGACTGGCCTTGAACTTGCACCAATCCTCATGCCTCAGTCTCTCTCCCAAGTGCTGGGATTACCGGCATGCACCACCATGCCCATTTTCCCCTTTTTTTGAGGGGGGATACTGGGACTCAAACTCAGGACCTTGCATCTGCCAAACAAGCACTGTGCCACTGAGCTAAATCCCCAACCCCTGACTTCCTCTTAACATTTCTACAATTAAACTTATGTTTTCCCCTAAGTCCACTCAGCCCCATTCTCCCAGATGTCCTCAGCCTCCCAAAATACAACCCTTGAAGTCATTCCTCTACCCCTCAGTGGGCACTACATTCTAAAGCCTTATTCTGTGTTTTTTTGTGGCTGCAGGGAATCGAACTCACAACCTCATGCTTGCCAGGCTGGCGCTGTGCCACTGAGCTGTATCCCCGGCCCTCAAAGCCTCATTCTCTTGCTGAATTAATTAATTTATTTGTTGTCTTTGAGACTGGGTCTCGCTATGCAGTTCAGGCTGGCCTTGAGCTCACTTTGTAGCCCGGGCTGGTCTTGAACTCGCAATGATCCTCCTGCCTCAGCCTCCCGAGTGCTGGGATTACAGGCATGCACCACCATGCCCAGCATTGAAGAGAACTTTGTTTTTTTGTTTGGTTGGGTTTTTTTGGTACCGGGAATCGAACTCATGACCTTGCACATGTGTATTTTAAACCATACTCCATTCATTCCTCAATTTCTTTCCTCACACTCAGTAAGGACCTAGTGAGCAGCTGCCATGTGTCCGTGCTGGGCTCCAGAGCTGCAGAGACGCATGCAGCCTTGGAGGACCGCGCTCAGGTAGCGAGGGCCACTTCACACACGGGCGGTGCAGCCCTCATGCCGTCCCACCAGGCCCCGTGGGAGTGAGAATGAATCCCAGGTCTCTCGGGACTGGGGACAGGATGGGCAGCTTCACAAAGCCAGGGACGTTTGAGCTGAATCTTGAGGAGTCCGGTGGGAAGCCGGGTGTGTTGGGACAGCCGGGAGGACTGGCTTCAGGCCGAGTGGGAGCCAAGGGCAGGGCAAGCAGCTGGCTGTGTGCACGGCCAACGCAGCACCTCTGCCGCAGCTGCAGGCTCAGCCCAGGCATAGCCAGGCTGTCCTGATGCCGGAAGACTTGGAGGCAGTTTGAGAGGAGAAGGGGCGCTCCTGAGACCCCACACCCCAGCACCTCACCGCAGGGTTCCCGGTGAGAAACCAGGGCCTAGGTCGGCTGAGCTCAGGTGGCAATGCCAGCGGTGGGGAGCGGCTGGACCTGCAGCCGAAGCTTAGCTCCTTACCCTGCAGCTCACCTCCTGCTGTGCAGCCGTGGTCTGACACTGCTCTGTGGTCCGGGGCTTGAGGACTCCGCCCTACCGGCCCCACCCCAAACCCCAGAACCAGAATTGACAGCCACCCACTGCAGAGGTGCCTCAACCTCAGAGTCATTTCAGAGCTTGGCCATTTTCTTTCCACGTTTGCTTGGTCTTTTTTTTTTTTTCTAATTCAGGAATCATAGAACCAGTAGGGTTTTTTTGTTTGTTTTAGGGGGTTTTCTTTGGTTTTGGTTTTAATTTTTTGGTTTTTTGAGACAGGATCTTGCCATGTAACCCAGGCTGGATTCCAACTTGAAGCAATCCTCCTGCCTCAGCCTCCTGAGTGCTGGGATTACAAGTGTGCACTGCCACGCCCTGCTCACAGAACCCTTTGACTGTATGTACTGTGTCCCCCTCTTGGTTTCCTAACAGCCCGGGCACAGGCTGCTTCCTGGTGCACACAAGCGGAGCTTGCGGCCCAGGGCTGGAGTCTGTGTTCCAGGGAGTCCATCCTTCCCTCACAATCCTTCCCTCCAATTGTGGCCAGTACAACTGGACAGATGGGGCCAGGGTCAGAAACCAAGGTGCAAGGAAAAAGAGGTACAACGTACGATTTCAGGGAGGAAATGTTCTGAGCATCATATATGGGGCCTCTTTTTCCGGTTTATAAAAGTGAGTTACATTTATAGATTTCTCAAGACCTTCCCCATCCAAACGCTTTTCTCTAGAATCTTCACTTTAGATAACTTTATTTTTAACTATGATATTAATGTGCACTTCTGAGAGCATAAGAGAAACATTTTAAAACAAAAAATGAACTATAGAGCCGGGCGTGGTGGCGCACTCCTGTAATCCCAGCACTCCGGAGGCTGAGGCAGGAGGATCCTTGCTAGTTCAAGGCCAGCCTGGGCTACAAAGTAAGCTCAAGGCCAGCCTGAACTGCATACTGAGACCCTGTCTCAAAAGGCAAAAAAAACACCAAAAACTATGATACACTCTATGAGGGGTGTTACAGGGACTCGTTTGGCTTTCAATGTGCCCTAGGAAGGAAGGGCAGCAGGAATGAGGAGAAAATAGACAAGACACAAAAAGCTGGGGTCAGGCGGAGGTCCTCCCTCTCCTGAGCGGAGAAGGGGAACTGCCCAAGACCAGGAGAGCGTTTATTTATACCCTCGGGAGGTTGATTAATTTCAGCCTGGCTGCCCAGCGGTCAGTTAACAAGCTACCACGGCTTGTTTACGCGCTTGGAGGAGCTCCCTGGCGGGGTGACTGAGCACCCCTTCTGCCTCCCACATGCTTGCCACCAGGGTCACGAGGGGCTCCTCGTTCCCTGTCCCCCGTCGCTGCTGCCGGGTCTCACCAGCTTCTGGGTCACTCTGCCTCGGTCGGGTCGCCAGCACTCAGCCCCTGGACGCCCCCCAGGCCCTGCCGCCCCCTTGCCACGCGCAGTGCCGCAGGGCGTAGCGCCAGCACAGCCGGGCCAGTGTCGGGCGGCCGCTCCTTCCTCCCCTGGGCCGGGGCGCCGGCCAGCCACCGCCGGCAGGTGCCCTGGCTGTCCGCAGCTCCTCGGGCCCCAGTCCTGTGCCGCCCTGCCAGCCTCCGCCCCCGTCTCCTCCTTTGCTTGCTGACCGAGGTCCC